GATATATGGACCTGCAGCGGAGTTTAGGCCCAGACACGGCTAGTGACGTCAGACTGAACGATCGGATTACTCATTAACAACACACAAAATGCCAAACAAACCAAACGGACTTGGATTTAAAACTGTCCGTGTCTTTCTTCCCAGTGAAACCTTTAAAACTCGCCTCTGATCCACACTGCTTCATTTCTCCCAACACTTTCTCCATGCTCTGGTAAAAAAAAAAAAAAGCGCGAAAACCGTGCGTCGGCTGGACTGATGCTGGAACGTCATCACCGCGCTTACTCTGTTTCTTAGCAACAGAAAACATCTGCCTCCGCCAGGACCAATGAGGGCAGGCGCTGAGCGGAGTGTGTTGTCTCCTGTTGCTGTGAACGGGATATTTTAGGAGTCTGGAGAGCAGCGAGCGTCTCACCCCGACAGGAGCTCGAGCTCTGCGCACGTCCGCCCGTCTGTGTTTCTGTTTGAACCCACACAGGCTGCGACTGCAGGCGAGCTGGAGAAGCGCTAGATCGCTGTGAGTACGGTGGATGAGGCACCCAGGAAAGGATATCACGGTGGGCAGAGGAAAGGAGGCTTTAAAAACTGCTGCTCGACAAAATTTTTGAAAGGTAAGAACCCGTGGCTTAATTATAATTGATGTATTGGTGGGAAACAGCTGTTTCTTCCCTAAAGTGTCCATTAAAGTTGTTTATTTATTGAAATGTGTTTTTTTTGTTTTGTTTTGTTTGTTTTTTACTTCGGGTAGAAAGCAACTGAAATAAACGAGAAAGGTTAGTTCAAACAATGCATATGCTCTTCATTGAACAATAATAATATAAATATTTAAACTCTATGTGATGAAGGACTGGCATCTTGATTTAGGAGTGTTTTAGGGATGTAAGTAAATGCAGGGATCTTCACTATTATTACAGAAGCTGCTCTTTTATTCTCTTTTAATCCTAAATATACTCACATCTTCAAGTGCTGCTTTTGCTTCAGAAAGAAGACTAGTACCTGTGTCTGTCTGAGCTGCAAACTGTTGACTTCAGCTGGCAAAAGGTTTTTGATGCAAGTCATTAAAAAAAGAGCTTTTGTTATTTGCCAAATATTCTTCAGATTGTAAAACTCCTGACCTCCTACTACAACATATTCCGCTTTTAGCAAAATTATTTTCAGCAAAAGAAAAGACAGCAGGCAGAATGCGGACAAACACACTGACACACACTTCCCACGCAGCCTCCATCTCTCTTTCCCTCTGCTTATGCATCCATCACCATGCATTATTCTCGGGATGCAGTTGGACGATAGAAACTGCGTGAGTCACCACAGCAGCTTCAGGGGAGCCGGTGTGAATGTTGCAGAGCGAATGTTTCACAACGTAAAGCTTCCCACTCTGTGTTTATGATTGATTTATGGCATTTTAAATAACATCACCCACACATGCGCACGCATTCAACCCTTTTATCTCTCCTCCTCTCTTTTGATCTCTCTTAAATTCAAATGAGCGGATTTTGGAAGCAGCGTCTGTAGATACATTTCGCCAAAAATGCAGCATCGTGTAACAACATTAAAGGATTAGATCAGACATTGTACGTTGCACATACAGTGTGTGGGTGCTGTAGTGTGGGAACGTATACATCTGAAAGATGTTTTATTAATGCCCCAACATGAACTCATAGTTCATGTTGTGCAGGTTTATCACTTGTTAGATGCAAATGACAATGTATAGAACAAAAACTCCAGGTGAAGAATGCGAAAGATTAAATGTGATCAAACGTGAAGCTTCTTTGTTTGTGTGCTGATGTTTTGGTCCTTGCTGATACTCATTTGTCTGTGTGTGCATGTTTTCCAGCAGGAGTCTGAGGGCGATGTGGAGGATCAGATCAGCTCTGATTTAAACTGAGAGCTGAATCGGCCGTGGCCCAATCGGCAGCAGGTAATCAAACCTTCTGTCTCTTCCTGCAAACCAACATCTCTCAACCAGGAATTAAGAGTGATGTGACAGAAGTCTGCTCTCTTAATGTTTATAGCTCACACCTTTCCATAGATTACATTAACTGGACATGACCTCTAGTGGCCGTGTGCATCACAACCATTGACTGAATGCAGCAAAGGCAGAAAGGAAAGTTTTCAAATAATAAAAATACTGAAAATAAAATTGGTATTAATACATGGCAAAATAATACACGCTTATTTGTTTAAAATAATACATTCAAATCACGAAAAAAATCTAACACAAACTTAAAAATATAAAAACCAACTGAGTCAAATACCTAAAAAGAGAGAAAACATTACATAAAAATATGGACACATTAAATAAATTTAAAGAAATTCCACAAAGTGACCCAAACTAACTAAAGATGAAAATGACCAGAAGAAGAAAGGGACCAGTTGTTGCAGGTAGACAGAGAGACACATTAAATCAATAGAAAATGATACAAAACCAATAAAGCGGACACGGATAACTGTAAAGCACCACAGAGCACTGCCATATGCAGTGTTAGAGGATTGAAAAAGTAAAGAAATGACCTCAAAAACACATGAAAAAAGGAAATAAACCCTAAACTAACCAGAGATGGGATGAAATCTGACCATAGAGAGTGAGGAATGACCTGAAAAGGAGGCAAAATATGACAAACACGCGTGCATGATCTGCAAAACAACTGTGGGAGCAAAAAAAAACGTATCCACAATGACTCAATAACCAAAGCAAAGCTGTAGTTTCAGTCTTTAAGTCTGTCCTGAGAGGCTGAACTGTCTTGCAGTCTGTGCAAAAATGTACATATATTGGATTTTGGTGATATAGATAATTATCACCAGCTTTAATCCAAGAATACAGAGACCAACATTCACCTTATATCACATGGAAGCAGTTTTTGCTCTGGATAAGCACTCAAGTTAAAACCAGCCAGTGAAATCCCCTCAGTGTAACACAGAGGCTTCAGCACATTATGATTGTTGTGCTGTGGTGGCGGCAGAAAGCAGTGATCTCTGTGTGGTTGCCTCTAGCAGCTCCTTCCCCGTGAGAGAGACCAAACCATTCAACAACGTCGAAAGTTGCTTACTTCAAGAGGAAATATGCGGAGGAGGAGGATTTACACAGAGGCCTACGTGGATATTTTCAAAAAGTGCGTGTTCTTTTCTTCTTCTTTTGTTGTTTTCATGCCAGCGTGACTTGATTTTCTGTGCCTGAAAGACCTTAATACAACAGCTGAAACGTTTGGTGACTTCATAGCTGAACAGGCTCGCCAAACGTTTCTGGCTTATTGCTTCTTTTCTACTGCCTCTTCCTTCTTTTGTCTTCTTTCTTTGCTTCTGTGCATTCTCGACATTCACAATTCTCTCCATCACTTTAACGGTTTCACTCTTTATTAGCTGGCCTTCATCACATCCTTCAACTTTATTCTGGCATCCTATACAGTCTCCACTGTTTCTCTGCTTTGAATACCTAAAGTGTTTGTAATTAAACATTACAAAAGTATTTAAGGATGGTGCTCAAAATGTGCGTTCTCCCATTGCCTCCTGGAAAAAGCTATTTAGAAACTTTGTGGGCAACAGCAATCAGAAGCATTTTTAGGAAGACTATCAAAGATTTGTTTAACAGAAATGTTCCATTTTTGAAATCTTCTCATTTAAGTTTGCTTGCTTTACAATTTTAAAGCACAACTGCAGTTTAATCACAAAAGGTGGACAAACTAAGCAAACTGGATGGAAACCCTTTTTCTACATGTCTACATAGATAATTGATTGTGTGTATTAGAGAGGTAAACTCAAACAATTTTACATAAAAAATACAATGGGATTAAATGAAGGCAGGAGAGGGAAAATATCTCCAGCTAACTTTATTTTAAATAGGTCAGTTATAAAATACATTATGTTACAAAGGTAAAGTTTGCTGTTTAAAACCACATTCAACCCCCTTTTTAATGTACGCTAAAATACCTTCAGTAATAATAATTAAAAAACATATTTTTTCTGATGTTTTTTGAAAATTCTCAGTATAAATTGTCAAAATAAAAAAAAATGTAAAGACACAATCTGATCTGCTGCCTTCACGTTTGCCACTTGCAGCACTTGATACTGCAGGAGGACCGGAGCTGCATCCTGAGGCTGTCCCTGGAGAAACTAAGGTTCCTGGAAGATCCCGAGGCCTACCTGAGGCGCTCCGTCCTCATCAACAACCTGCTGAGAAAAATCCACCATGAGGAGGAGGAGCTGGAGGCTGAGGAGGAGGAAGAAGAAGATGAAGTAGATGAAGAGGAAGAAGAGGAGGGAGTTATCGGGGATAGGGGGCAGCGGAGGCTGATGTACCCAGACAGGAAGAGAGTGAAGGTGCTGGTGACAGACTGCTGCTCCCCGGGCTTTGGCCTGGAGGAGCTGCAGCACTACCGGCTGGTGCCGTGTTACCCGTCAGCTGGTTGCCTGTACAGCCTGGGTACCTGCCCGGGCCTCACCCCAAACCACCAGGTCCTCCTGTACAACCTGGATGACAATGGCTGACTCTCTGCTCCTCACCGCCAGGCCTCTTTTCAAAGCTGGGAACTGCAGCGTCGGTTCATGTCACAGGCATGTGGACTCGCACTGTTTGCTCCAACCAGCAGGAGGAAAGCTGCTGCTGCTGCTGCTGTTTTTCTCCCTGTTCGCTAAAAATGCTTTGAGGGGAATGTGTCGCAGGCTCTGTTTCGTGCATCAGCAGGACGTCGCCTCTTCTCGTCACCTTGCTGAGAAGCAGTGGTGGATTCAAGAATCTGAGAGACCATTTTCTTCTTCTGCCTCAGGAGTGTTGATATTAAACTCTGCAGCAGCATTACTGCTATTTACTGTTTGTGCAAATGTAAGAGACTTTAAGCAGGCAGCATTTTTTTTAAATTCTTTGCAGCTGTAGTATTATTGATTTTTATTGTTACTGTTGCTCATGTAAACTGTGAGCGCATTCAGGGATTTACAGACTTCTGGCTACTTTTGATGCACCTTGGCTTGCGTGGAGAATATTTGCTGATTTGCTTCTGTTATCTTTTTATGCTACTGTGTGATTTATGAAATATTCTGTGTAACATTCCCTGGATCGTGTGAATTCTAATGCTATGAAGAACTCAAGGCACTCATTCCCCCGGGTGCGTTTACTGCCTGTGGGAAGACTGTTTTCTCTCTGTGGTCGATGTCCCGTGATTATGTTTTCATTTTGCAGCACTTTGCTGCCCTCTGCTGGTGGAAAAAAATGATCTCAAAGCATTTATTAGTAGTCTGTGTTCAAATAAGAAAACAGAGGAATGCTTACTTTAAACCTCATTCTGATTTAGCATTAATAGATGTTATATACAGATTATAACCCACTATAGATGTAAAGAGATTTATCAACGATTATAACATCTGCTGAAACATACAATATAGCAAACATTTAACATGTTTTCAAATGAGTTATAACTGTTGGCAAACACTATTATTACCATACCACCAACCTGTAGTCTGCATAGTCTAAATATCCCAGATTATACATATATGTATAATAAAGAGAGATAATGCTAGTGGCAGTAAATACCTAAATATAAAAGTTTTTTTTCTTTTGCTATGTAAAAAGGAGGAAATATTTTTTTGTCAGTTCTATGAAGTCAAAATACTTTTTTTCTGATACCAAATATTGCTTTTGTGAATGCATTTCAGCCTCGTGGTGTTTTAATGCTGGATTTCAGAGACCAGAAGGCCTTTAACTTGATGTTGCATTCCATTTTTTTCTTACTATGGTTCCAGCACCAGTAGTGTTTTCACAGAGGACCGAGGTTTGCTAAAGTGGTCAGAAAATAGGTTATTTAACACGGCACATTGGTGCTTTATAAAGCTGACTTACTTGCTGTATGACAACAGCGATTAATTATCCATCCTTCTGTGTCTTTTCGTGTGTTCAGTGTCTATCCAGGAGTTTTACTGATTTTTGCAATGTGCATCTTGATAACAATCACTTAAATGGAAAAATAAAGGAAAATAAGGTAAAACAACAATGACAAACTAAAGGCAACTATTAAAGAAAAGCTTGATATTTTAAATCAAGAATTTATATTTTGATGAATATGAATAGTCTGTATTTAAGAAACTATTTTGAAAAAGGGCCGTTAAACTTTTTTCATGTGATTGATTATCAAATAAAGTATGTAATGTGACATTTTTGTTTCATTTTTTAATTTTTCGACCTCTCTATCAACAAAGCGCGGTCACGTCACGCCATGACGTTTTTAGTTCCGTTGAATGTTGTGCGTGCGCGCCGGAACCACCGTTGCTTTCAAGTGCTCCTAACAAAGACAGACTTTACAACCTCACATCAGCAACCGTCACCTCTGCAGAGAGTTTGTAACAGAACATAATTACGTCATTTGATAAAGCACAACTTTTAAATATTATGGTCTGTAAACTAGAACTTTACACAATTTAATTTCAAGCATTTATGAACTGGATAGCAGTTACGTTTCTGCACCCACAAAGCAATGACTGAGTTATAAACGCATATTTCACTTTAAGATATTTTTTACATAATTATTAAATACACAAACTAAATATGATCCAGTATTTCTAGACTTTAAAAAGAAAAAAACATCTATTGTGATATATGTGTAGCCTCTGTTTGACTGATCGTGATCTCCTTTTCTTCTTGGCAGATTCCCAGCGCTTTGCTTTATTTAAAAATGCATTTTATTATAGCCACTGATATATCACACTTTTCAGTACACACGTGGCAATTTACACCCGGTAAACGGTCAAATTAAACGGTAAAATTCTAACTGCTCATTGTCAATCAACGTCCTGATTACTGCATCTAAGGCGATCTAAGCGGCTTCCTGTTACTTCAGTGGCTGTGCGACCTCGACTTTGGTCCTAAATCTCTGTACGTTCTGAAGTTGACTGGGGAAAGAATTGTGACATTTCATGCAGCACCTGAAGGCAACGGGGAAGGCGCGTTCCACGGACCTCTCGTGTATCTGACAGTTGCACATAGCGGAACGTTTATCGCATCCAGGCTCAGACAAACGGCAGGAGCCCTCCGGTTCTTTATATCCGATACGGTTCAACTGAAAACGGAATTTCTTATTTTAAAACGACTCAAGTTGTTGTCATATTTTTCTACCGTTTGCAAATGCTTCAAGGGTTCACCTTTGAGTGCCGCTCTGCCATAATGTACGGGTTAGCTCGCTAACGTTAGCCGGGAGCTAGCATCCACAGTTCGGAGAAAGTAACGGAGTACGCGTTTCTTCGGCTACTTCGGAGTCGTCAGAGGGAATTAAAACATGGAGAAAATGAAAGAGCTATGCCACTGCCTCCAGGATCCTCACCTTGTCGCCCGCTTTCAGAACATTTGCGGGGTACGGGGCACGTTTACGACCACCAGCAGCAGCAAGGTAGCGGACCGGGCTCACTCGCACAACAACGGCGCTTGTCATCATCGCGTCGCCGGAGAAAACTTGTCCAATGTAGGAGCTGGGGAAGGAGAGAAAATGCAAACGTCGTCAGCGAAGCTTCGGAGAAGGATTGCGGACTCTAACGTTGCTAATAATTGTAAAGATGAAGGTGAAACCCCGTCACAGAACGGGACAGCGGTGTCTGCGGCGACCGCCGGGGGAGAGAGGGTTGGTGTGGGCAGCAGCCTCGCGGGACCGGGCGTCCGCAGCGGGTCCGCGCAAGATTTATCCCGGGCAGCCAATTGTGAGGAGAGCCAGGTCGGAGGAGTCTTGGGTCCCCCAGGAAGCAGCAAGGTAAAGCCACTCCGCAAGAATTCTCTAACAGGCGACGGCGGGCAGGAGTTCCTGATCGACAACCGCTTCTTGTACTATCTCTTCACTTTCGGAACCGAGCTGGGAAACGAGACTTTCTACATCACTTTCTTCCCATTCATAACGTGGAACGTGGAAGCCTTCGTCAGCAGGCGACTGATCATGGTGTGGGTCTGGGTCATGTACCTGGGACAGTGTACCAAGGATGTGCTCGGCTGGTCCCGACCGGCCTCACCGCCTGTGGTCAAAGTGGAGGTGTTTTACAACTCCGAGTACAGCATGCCGTCCACGCACGCCATGTCCGGCACAGCCATCCCCTTCGCCCTGTACTTCATGACCTACGGCCGTTGGGAGGTAAAGTCCCTTTTCACACACACAAACTGGATGTCACACCGTTGGATATAAGAGAAGTTGTTTGGAGCCACTTCCTCTTAATTTCAGTGAAAAAGACGAAGGAAGTTGGCTTTGTCATATTTTATAATATTTTGACAGCATATTTTTCCTTATACACAAGTGAAATCGTTAGGGTTCATTTGAGAGCACAGGAAACGCAGGTGGAGTGACAGAAACTCTGCCACGTGGGTAAAATCGAATCTTCATCCCTCATTTAATGTACTCTGTTGCAACCGTGGAAACTGCACGCACACCAGCTGCAGACACGACTCTTTACAGGCGTAATATATCTAATATTTTATTAAAAGGAGTTTTGTGTCAAAAGAAGATGAAAAAACAATTTCATTTCTGTAGCTTTTGTTAAATTATACAACATATCTGCTTATTACTTGATTACCAACATTAAATTTTTTTAATTATATACATTCAAATTTTTTATATACTGTTTATTAATATATTTTTATTTGCACTACAGTGCAACAGCTTTACTCAAATCTAAACTATTATTAATTACTTGCTTTCCCTCCAGAAACTCCCAGTTCCTCCCACAGTCCAAACACATGCAGGCAGTGGGGTTGTATCTTTTGTCTCTCTGTGTTAGCCCTGTGACAAACTGCCAAACTATCCAGGGTGTACCCTGCCTGTTGCCTCAGCAGGGATCGGATAAACTTGGATAAGCAGAAGAAAATGGATTTATGTAGTATTTAAAGCAGCAAAGTGTTTCACAAACTAAGAATTTACAATGAAGACACTGGATCATATCATATTCTAAGTTGTGAGATCATGGCAAAATAGCAGAGCTTCAGATACTCCCGCTGGCATTTTGTTTTTTACCACATACGTACAAATACCGATGTGTATGTAATGAGCCCAAATTTGTGGATTTATTCCATTAGTTGGGTCCAAGTTTAGGAAATAGTGAAAATTGTCCACAGTTAAGTTTAACCTGCAAAACCAGCAATTCAGCTGAAACTGAGACGCAGCATGCTCATATTTTAGCAAATTGTCAATTATAAGATAGGCGTACCCTAAAGTATACAGCGCTTAGTTCCTTTTGACTCGAATGGGCACCATAATTGTCAAAATGGACATAATATTGTACTCCGTAAGAACTAAAACTAGCAGTGGAGCTCATAAACACATCAAGAATATGTTTACTAAAGGTCTAGATCGTGAGCGTTGAAAGCCATCTCCCCATAGATTTCTGTTCAATCAGATTTCTTTTTACTACCACAAAGCCCCCACCTGTCTAACACATTGAATGCATGTTGAAGGCACTTTGCCATTAGCTTCACTTTCTAGACCTGGGAGCTATGTCCTTATTTTATACATGTCTGTAATTTGATGTCAGACCTATGATCCTCCATGTAATCACCTGACCATGCACCCTTTTGCTATTCGCAACCCATTTGACCACGTGGCAGTCTTTTCTACAATGTCACTGAGACTTTGCCCTCGGAAGTCAGTCTTCTGAAGTGCCATCATTAACAATTAATGAGCTGTTGGGTCAGTGGATATAGTGACAGCAGCTGTGGGGTGACTATGGAAGCTGCATGAAGACAAAAGCTGACTCTTGACTGGGTAATTTACTGCATGAAATCATGCTTGCTATAGTTACAGCAAAGACTACAATTGACTGCCCTATGGAGGAGAACACTCCTAACACAGCTAAAAAGAAAGCCCAGAAAGCCCATTACCAGTTTTGATGACGTGATATTTGTTAATTTTCTCTGATATTACTCTGCTGGTTGGATAAAATAAGCAGCTAATGTTTTAGAATTGCCCATCTTGGATTTTGGGAAATTCTGTGACTGTTAATAGTCTTTTAACAATTCTGTGACTTTGGAATAATCGTTTTAATACTTAAATGATTATTGCAAAAGTGAGGAAGTTGGCAAAAGGTAACATGATAATGTAAGTCCCTTGTCAGCAGCATCAGTTATGCAGATCAGTAGTTACACAACTGATGATAATTAGCTGAAAGCCCATATTCAGCTTTCTGTTTTTTGGCATTGTTAAAATTTTAAAAACATTTTAAAATGCTCCAAAATCATTCGAATAACATTAATGCTGAAATTCTGTTTTAACAAGCCATTTCTGTTATTGTTTCCTTCATCTCCTCCTATTCAGCCTGGAGGAACAACACCACATTCTGTCCAGTCTGTAAAAAAACAAAACAAAACCTCAGTCTGTGAGTCCACTTCTGTTGTCTTACTGTGCATCCACACAGTGAGGAACATGCTCGACAAGCTGTGGGACGCTTGTTTGATTCATTTAAAAAAAAGGGAAAAGACACTCGACAAGATTTTAGCAGGCATTTTTGTTAGCGACAGAAACTTTTCTAATTTCTACTTTTTTAAACTTTTTTTTATGGTTCTCCGATAAATATGAAAAAGTGTAACCTGAAAGTCAAGTGCAATTACCACTGAGCAATTATCTAATGAGCCGATCAACAAAACAAGACTAAAGAATCCTTTGAACAGCTGATTAATCTCTGAATGATATATCTATAGCTGCTGCTGATTTTCTATAAGTATACTAGTTGTTGTTGTTCTCAAATGATTAACTATTAACATAGGACATAAAGGTGAAATGACAGGATGAAGTACATTTATCTGAAGTGGTTCTTGCTAAAGACATCTGCCTATTCCAGTGAACAGGATATGATAGGTTGATTTGCATAGCCTGCTTTTTGATTACCGAGAGCTGTTTTTTGCTGACAGTGGTTATCTACATGTTACAAAGATGAGCTCTTCTGTTTTATTAATATAAACAAAAAATACCAGTGTATATGAAAAACTCTCACCATTAGCTCTGCTGCACACTATATTTACCAAGGTGAAATGACAGCATGAAGTACATTTATCTGAAGTGGTTCTTGCTGATTGCAGGACTGCTTATCTACATTTAACTGCATGTCTAAGGCAGTATTGCTCAAGGGAACTGCTCTGCACGGACTCGTCACTAAATCCTACTCTGGCTGTGGTCAGTGAGGATTTTCTTTGTCATATGTGACGCTAAACTGAAAGTTTTGGTTTGGACTGTAGGTTAAAAAATCTGAAGATGTGACCTGAAAAACTTTTTGCTGACATTTTATAGATGAAATAATTGAGAAAATAATCAGCAGCCTAACTGATAATGAAAATAATCATTAACCACAAACCTTGGACAGTATATTCTGTGGTGTGGGTCATTTACAGAGAGAAATGTGAAGAGTTGTAAAGTGAAATAGGTGGGATTGGGATTGCTGTCTTTTGAGGTTGAAATCACAGCAGAGTTAGTACACTCAGCCTCTCTGTCTGAGCCGGAGCAGGAGAGCTGGCCCCTTGACCTTCCAGTGAACAACTGAGATAAGACTGATTTAGTGTCTGGGACTCTGCTTTTATCTTTACTGTCACTACAGCTCTCTTTGTGTTTGACAGCCTAAATTTGAAACGTGTAAGAAGTTTGAAAAACTTCTTTCACACTACACGCTCTGAACAAGCCAAACTCTATTCAGCACCAAACAATACAAACCGCTGACTCGCGTGTGTGCAACACCAGATAAGATGTTGACCTCTGTCTCACTTTTTGAATCAGATTCATGTATTTGTTTTCTCCTCAGTGTTCCCTTAACTGGGGGTTTAAAAGGCCGAACACTGAAATTTTCCAGGCTTGTAAATTTCTGAAAATTATGCAAGCTGGTTCTCAGTTGGTGTATGAAGAAGAATTTTTTCACACTAATGTTTGTGTTGTGTGTCTGGTGTGTGTTACAGAACGTCAAGTGAAGTCCAAAGCTGTCATCTTTTAGATGTTTTGACATCTGGTGGCACCAGCTGTCTGGCCATGTTAGTTTTGCTATTTTAGCCACAAAAAAATCTGGTTACATTTTCAGGCGCTTAATCACACAGCAAGAAAATCTAGCTTTATATAGACAGATCTTGTCATTTTCCAGCTAATCAGCTACTGTAATTTCCCCTGTTGTGTAGTGTGACTTGTGATTCATTAAGAGCATCGGCTTGTCTCTGACGTTTGGTGGTGTCATCACTTTACAGAAATCTGTTTAAAAAGGAAAAAGAAACTATGGAAAATAAGCCCCAAAGGTTTATAGCTTGTTTCTGCAATTCAGAGTTGTTGTTAATACCATTATCCCATGCATCCCTCCAGTTGTTCTTTGCTGCTAGCCTCTCTGTGAAGTTTCCTTCTGCTTCCCTGATCGACCGCAGCCATTCAGTCCTCCCATCCCGACACCCTCCTCCTGCTCAGACAGTAACTCGAGTCAGATGTCGGGCTATGGAAGATACTGTAGATTAAAGTTGAAGGAGTTGATGAAGAAATGGACAGAAGCAGTTTGAGAAGAGAAGAGAATGAGGTTGAGCCGAGGAAGAAGAGAAAAGATTAGCTAGTGAATGAGAGGAGATTAAGTAAAATTAGACTAGAGGGCACGAAACAGAGAAAGCCCTGAAGTGTTTAGAGACACGGAGAGGGGATTAATACAGTAAAGTGCAAGGAGGAGGATGACTGAAGGGTATATAGAAGGCTAAAGAGGGAAACAAAGTAGTTTGATGGTGGAATTTGTAATAGGCTATAATATTAGCCGTGGAAAAAGAGTGCTGCATATACTACAGAAGTTAGTGAATGGCTGTTAGCAAGTTTTGTGATGTTGTCCAGTTGATTCAGAACACAAACAACAGGCTTTGTGTGAGACTTCCGTCTTCAAGCAGGAACATAAGGTGGGAGCATTGCAGCTTTTCCTGCCAGCATGAATGAGTTTAACAGTATAGCATTTCCTAACTGCAGCTTGAGCTTTACAAGCTGTTTTGCACTTTTTGGAAAATGACAGGAAGTCTGGGAATAAACAAATCAAACAAGGAATGCTATTCACCAAATGAAATGAATAAACTGTATCAATGATCTTTTTGAAAATTATTATTTTTTTATAATAATGTTTTTATTATAAAATAATACATTTATTTATTTAT